CCAAAAATTTTCTAAAAATTCTAAATAAAAAGTAGAAATTTTGACAAAAATTTGTGGAATTTCCCCAAATTTTGTATAGCGTTTGAAACTGTGATTTACACGACTTTAGTTAAAGCCTAGACGATATTTTTATATAAAAATATGAAGAAAATCAACACGTGGTCAATTGTTTGAGTCACTGGCGAGCTAGGACATTGTTATACATTAAATTTTGATTCCATTTTTTTCGTTATATGTGACCTGGTCTACGGAAAGGGGGCTTAGGTGTCAAAAAATCAATTTTCACTTTTTGGTTGATTCGGATGGAAGATGAGATGCTTTTTCACGTGGTGAAAAGCAGAAAATCCTAACTTGCTTAGAAGTGTACTAAAAATAATAATAATATTAATAATAATAATAATAATATTAATAATAATAATAATAATATTAATAATAATAATAAAACTATAATAATATTCCGACCAACAACAACACTTACTGGACCAACAACAACACTTACTGGACGTCCGGCGCGGAGAACAATTAACGAGATAATGAGAAACTGACGAAACAAGTTGCTTACTTTTAACAGCTTTTTCACAGAAAACTAGTTTTCGCACGTAAGCTCCCTTTTCGTAGACCAGGTCACATATATTGCTTCCATAAAAAACAAGACTGAAATTATTTTGTTTGTAAATACTCCTTGTTTTATTGGCAACACTAACATGGTGCTATTTTAGAGGAAACTTTCAGTTGAATGCAGCAGTTGCTTGCATGGTTGCCATTTCCAATTTATTTTTCGGAGCAAAAAATGACCAAATGGTAAAAAATTTACCAATTTTTATTACATCGGGAAATTGAGTGGAGTTTATTCCTCTTTATTAAGAAAATATGCCAATTCAGTTTTTATAACGATTTTTTTTTTATATTGCACCTAAAGTGCATTACATTAGTATATTATATTATTCAAAGTTTTAAATTATAATTTGTTTCTTAATTTCATTCTTATTAATGTTAAATCCAAAAATTTCCGCTCAGCTGCTGCGGACCTGTGAGGCAGACTAAAAATATTATGAACTAAATCACACAATTCTCCAAAGGCCGCTTCACCCAACCCAGTTTTAATCAAACTTACTTGATTCCAAAAACGTTCTATATTAATACAGTTTTGAAGCCTCAGTTTGCGAAATTGAAATTCAATTATGGGT